ATAATTGACTTTTTATATAGAGTCAACAGAATTAAATTGCGCGCAAAATTAACAAATGAATTTCATTTGAAAACCTCTATATTCCATTAATTAATAAAGAAAGAACATTATTTTATCTCTTAGACTGATTTACCTCCGTATAATTCTTTATTGGCTAGGATTATAATGTGAGATTTACCTAGTATACACCTATGAGTAGTAATTGGCTAATTGCAAGTTTCTCTCATTAAAAAATAAAAAATAAAAAATTTATAACTTGGCGTAATTTTTACTCCGAGAAAAGTAGTTTCTTGATAAGCTAAGCAATGATTTAGCATTAGAAAGTCGGCTTTACATAATTGTTAATTAATTAGGAGTAAATACTCAAAATGGTCCATCGACTATAGCTAAATTCACAAATTGGTTTTCGACTTTCAATTTCAACCAATTAAGTCCTTAACTTTTCAATTTTAACACGATTTAGTCATCCGTCTATTTAATTGTTTGTTGATCATGATCTTTGAGAATATATATGTAATTTCATGGTCCATCGTCGGCCGAAAAATCTTCAATCCCAAATGGAAATCCTACATTCCAGACTTCAAACAAGCCTTCGAACACTTCTGCATCAACGCCGGTGGCCGCGTCGTCATCGACAATCTCCAGAAGAATCTGCAATTCTCTTTGGAGCACGTGGACTTGGCAGATTGTGGTTCGAAAACACGTCATCTTCTTCGATCTGGTACGAACTCAACTACATTGAATCCAAAGGGAGGATGAAGAAATGCGGCATGATTTGGCATATTGCTTTCGACAGGGAATTCAAATGTAACAGTGCGGTCTGAAAATGTAACCAGAACCTTAAAAAACTGACAATGGACCATGAAATTACATATATATCCTCAGAGATCACTGTCAACAAACGGTCAAATAGACGGAGGATTAAATCGTGTTAAAATTGCAAAGTTAAAGACTTAATTGGTTGAAATTAAAAGTCGAGAACCAATTTGTGAATTTAGTTATAGTCGAGGGGGACTATTTTGGGTATTTACTCATTAATTATTAATGTCGACTACTTTAACAGTAAGAGTTGTGTTTAGAGTGATTATGTAGTTTCTTTTAAAGAAAGCTAATTATGTGTGAGACTATAGTATGTATTATACTACGCTCAGATGACATGTACTGACTTCTCTCATGTGGAAGATTATGAGATCAAGCTTCAGTGGAGGTGTGCTTGCTTGGCATGGTTTTTTTTTTTTTTTTTTTTTTTTTTTTTAATTTAAAATTTTTATATAAATAAATGTTATTATTTTAATTTTTATAAAAATATAATTTTTAAAAAATGTTAATCTAAGTGGCATTTTATGTGACATCTTATGTGGCATGTGACTTAGGAGTAACATGTTATCATAGCTCAAATGACAAATTATGCTATGGACCCGTGTCCACCATGTAAGGTGGATACAATTTTTTATTTTTATTTTTATTTTTTTGAATAAGGTGGATCCGTGTTATGTTCACAATTTTTGAACTCTATATTGACAATATTATAAGTGAATATTCACAAATTTAGATCTCAATATACAAAATTACATAACTCAATATTCACAATTGCATAACTCTATCTTCAGTTCTTCACAATTGTTGAACTCTATATTCACAATTTTTGAACTCTATATTGACAATATTAGAAGTGAATATTCACAATTTTAGATCTCAATATACAAAATTACATAACTCAATATTCACAATTGCATAACTCTATCTTCACAATTTTTGAACTCTATATTCACAATTTTTGAACTCTATATTTACAATTTTAAACTCTATATTCACAATTTTTGAACTCTATATTCACAATTTCATAACTCTATATTCACAATTACACAACTGAATATTTACTCGCTGAGTTGTTTTCAATAATTTTTTTTTTTTTTTTAAACATTGGTTGTGAATATGCAGTTCTAACATTGTGAATAAAGAGTTCAAAAATTGTGAATATAGAGTTAAAAAATTGTGAATATAATGCGAATACACATTGCAATGTGGACCCCGATCCATGGCATAACTATCCTAGGTCAAATAGGTTAATTGTACAAATGAACAAATTGCACTTTTGGTCCTATGAGTAGTATGGTACTAGCAATTTGAGTACGTGACTTTCAAAACTCCCAATTTAAACCTTTAACTATGCAAAAATTTACAGATTTAGTCCTTCGGGCCAAATTGCCGACCAATTTTGGCCGGAAAAACATAAATTGGTTCAAATTTATTTGTGTTGAGGGCAAAATCGTCATTTCACTCCCTTCTTCTTCATTCTCCCTTTCTTCTTCGTTCTTCTTCTTCTTTCTTTCTTCTTCTTCTTCTTCAATGAGTTTCTTCTGCACTTATGTACATAGTTGAGAATTCATGACCTCAGGAATTCATTCTAACCATTTCCCTCATTTATTGTATTTAGATTTTCAGCCCCCATCGTCATCTGAATGCTTATCCGCAGGTGCCATTGTGGGGATTGTGCTTGCTGTTCTGTCCACCATTTTAATTGCTCTGGGCATACTTTGGTGGAAAGGATGTCTGCAGAATAAAAATGCAATGGAGCAAGGTAGTGTGTTACAACTCAACCTTTTTTCCATTTATCCCTATTTTGAACTGAACTGGCAATATATACTATATGGACAATCTACAACGGTATACTTTAACATGAATTCTCAACTTTGCTTCATTTTTATGTATTAGCAGCAAAGAAGAAGAAAGAAAGAAGAAGAAGAACGAAGAAGAAAGGGAGAATGAAGAAGAAGAGAGTGAAATGACGATTTTGCCCTCAACACAAATAAATTCGAACCAATTTATGTTTTTCCGGCCAAAATTGGCCGGCAATTTGACTCGGAGGACCAAATCTGCCAATTTTTGCATAGTTAAAGGTTTAAATTGGGAGTTTTGAAAGTCACGTACTCAAATTGCCAGTACCATACTACTCACAGGACCAAAAGTGCAATTTCAAATTTAACAACTTTAAGGGTCTTGTTTGAATTTTTTTTTTTTTTTTTTTTTTTTTTAGTTCGAGTGTTTGATTGCACTTTAATATATAGTTGAAGGTCTATTTAACTCTTATCCCTAAATTAAAAGAATTTATGATAACATCTATATTATTAACAATAAATAAATAAATTCAGTATATTCAAAATTTTACTAATTTAATTTGGAGGAGTAAGTCATATAAATAGATACAAAAAGAGTGTAATTGAATGGTCACACTGTATCAATAATATCATACCATATTTAACCATCATCAAATTAAAATTAACAACAATTGAATTATGATATATAGAAGCAAACTAAAACAAACATATAAGAATTGATTGCAAACCTTATCTATACCAACATTACAAATGTGGCTTATTACATGCACTAGTTACTACACGCGCATTGCACGAATAGTCCAATGCTTAATGTGTATTTTTAAATTAGTGTTTAGAATTTATCAAAGTATCACTTGGTATCTTGGCGTATATCAATTCAAGATTATCAAATTTTTCGTAAAAGTAAATATTTCAAAAATCTATAACTATGACTTGTGGCAAAAATGTTGGGTTAACTGGTTTGCAATAGTAATTTTAGAGGGAAGCACTCTCACTAGATAGTACCCAAGCATATTTTTTAGCAATACAAAACTATATTAATTGGCGTGATCCATGCTAGCTTGCAAAGACGATGTCGTTTTGACTAAAAACGCGCGTCCGACTTAAAAAAAAAATCAGTTTTGATTCTCGTCAACAGCATTATGTTGTGCATAATTTGAACTATATATCCAAAATGAATGAACTAAATATCCAGAATGAATGAACTAAATATCCAGCATGAAAAAAAAAATCAGTTTTGATTTCCGTCAACTGCGCTATGTTGTGTTTAATTTGAACTATATATATCCAGAATGAATGAACTAAATATCCAGAATGAATGAAAAAAAATCAGTTTCAATTTTCGTTAACAGCGTTATGTTGTGCATAATTTAAACTATATATCCAGAATTTTTTTTTTTTTTAAAGTCAGACGTCAAAACGACGCCGTTTTTGCATGGTGCAACGGTTGCACAGCATATCGACTCCTTGTTTCCACTTCCACCAAAATTGAATTCTTGATTTGATCTAGTCCCTTAGTGTGCTTCACTACAATTTTAGTGCCTCGGCACAATGCACCTTCAAAAACATAACCAAATCTTTCTTCTAAAAAAGACAATAGTAATAGACATAATTTCTCATATATGTTGAATATATATTGTAAATTAGGTGTGTCATTTCATCAATGCCCAATGCATGATTTTAATTAATTCACTAAATTCCATGTTAAATTTTATATTGTATTTTTTAAATACATTCTAATATATACATAATATATGTTTAATAATTATGTCAATTTTGATTGGGATAGGATTAGAACTTAAACTTTTCTTATGAAAATCATTGAGTAAGTTAATAATAAATAGTTAACAGAATAACAGGTCCCGTCACTAGACACCATCGTTCTGCATCAGGAATCTTTGTACATTTGGAACTACCCACTTAACTATCCAACACTTAAGCACCACATGTAACTTGTCAAAAATCTGGCATGTAGCTCTCGCAACCTCTATAAATACCCCCATAAAGCATTAGAGAAGGGAGATAAAAAAGAGAGACTTACAAGCAGAGACTATACTTATTTACATTATCATAAATATTTTTCAAAAAAGTATTTAAAAATCCCAAAACACTGCCGGAGTAAAATGTATTCGTCCAAAAAAAAGTATTTAGAATTTTACAAAAGCACTAAACTTGTTTGATCTGATTAATTAGAAATTTTAATTCAGAGCTACATGTAATTACGTATGAATTTTATTGGACCGACTTGAATGGAAGGAAAATGAAGAGAGTTATGCATGGAGTTTTTGAGTGTTTATCAACGGTAGAAATAAGAGAGACGGAAAGAGGAGAGTGATTTGACAATCTATATCTATATCTATATGCATATAAAAGCCATAGGGATTCAGCCAATCAGATTTCAGCATTTTCCCGTCCAAGAAAAACACAGCGTTTAGATTTCTTTTTTTTTTTTCATAGTGTTTGACCAATCAGAGAGTAGGTGTAAGGCTATATTTGTAGGGGAGTGGCCTATTGCGTCTTTGCAAAGTTGGTACTTGGTATCCACTCCTATTTGTAGAGTAGCATATTCAATTCACTACCTTGCACGCTTATATATACAAGATACATGTTAGAGACTTCAACTTCAACTCAAATACAAACTGTAAAAAAAAAGAAATTTCATATTTATGGGATCAACGAAGATGTCCCCGGGATTGTTGGTGCGCAGCTTCGCGTTGTGTGATGAACTACAAGTTTCAGCCTCCCGTCGATGTGCCGCATCCTCAAGGTAAGCTTTTTTCAGTTATCTTCTTCGATTGAATCATCTTTTGCCAATTTTTGGAAACGGATCTGATGGACTTTTGAGTTTCTGGAATAGATTATTCACCGGAAGGATATCCCAAGGATGCTTATCTTCAACCTTTTACCCGCCCCAAGGTTACCCTCCTACCTCCACAGAAAGCACCCCAGCCACTTCAGCAATCTGCAGGTAGCTCAGGCTGCTTGGAAGGATGGTAAACTTTTCTCAATCCTCTTATCTATGTTGAATCAGAAACAAAAAGTGAAAAATAAAGGTTCAAAATTAATTAGAACACTTTAATCAGGAAAAAAAAAAAAAAAAAAAAAAAAAAAAAAAGAAGGCATGAGACTCTTTTATCAATAGTTGGTGCAAGATTTTGAAGTTCCTTACCTTTGATGTGCCAGATTTGGAAGTCATCTTCCCAAAAATAATAGACTATTTCCCGAGAATTATAATTAATTTTCTAACAAACTAATAAGATGTAGCAATTAGAAGATTATGCCCTTATCATGATAGATGAAATAATTCACTCATCTGTTAGCAGAGCTAAGTTGAACCACTTAAAAATTCAACATTGAAGCAAAAAAAAAAAAAAAAAAAAATCACATGTAAAGAGTTAAGCACTTAACACCCACACCACCATAAAAATCAATTAAGGAGAAGGTTAGAGCAATAAATGGCACTACTTTTTTTGGTAGATAATAACACTATCTAAGGCTTAAATGGAGGATTTTAAACTTACACCAAAGTTTCAAAAGCAAGACTTCTAAAGCTCCAAGATGAAACCAATCATAATCAAGCAAAAGATTAGCAGGTTAGTTCTTTTCTTTCCATTTTCTTAAATTCATATTTAGTGTCATTATTTACGGCCCGTTACAATTATTTATCCAAACTGTTTTTATCTTTCTTAGCATTCTAGCTTCTTTTTTTTTTTCCTTGTGTGATTTAATTTTTACTTAAAATTGGCTATTTTAACTTGCATATATAGTACCAGTGTGTTTTAGTGTTAAAAATTTATGAAGTTTTTAGAATTGATTTTTAAACTGTCAACAGGCCTATGTTAAAATGTAATTAAATTTAAAAAATATAAGATTTAAGTATCTTGATTAGTTTATATATATGTATATATATGCAAAAGAATAGTTAACTAATTAAAGAAAAAAAGTTTCTAGCTGTTTTTTTTTTTGTCTCTGTTTTTTGTGTCTCTACTTATACTGATTTTGTCCATTAATGTCTAATATTGTGATTTTTTTTAGAAAACTTTCATGCAAATGGTGTAAATATTAGATTTTTCAGTCCAAATCATAAGTTAGGACTGCATACTAATGTGGATGGTAAGTGTGGACTGCAATTTGAGAAGTGAGAAACAAATTGACAATGCCATGGTACAAATTACACAATACCCAAGACATACATGTAGGAATACCTTTCTCATACACTTATAAATATACCTAAACATTTAATGTGGATGGTAAGTGTTGACTATTATATACTAATGTTTGATTGAGACTTCTTAGCATGTGTACTACTTGGTATCTCTATATATACTTCATTTAAGAATGCAACATGTACACTATATATTCATTCCAAACGAGAACTTCTGCAAGTTTTTAGCTAACAATTACAACAATGAAAAAATTGACTAGCTCAACTATCATTCGTGGAAAAAGAAAGCTTGATGTTGAAGATAAAGGTAAAAATGAAACATACCTGTTGTTCTTCATTAAAATTGTAACAAATGCTAACTTACTTTTTTGGTTTGCAATACTCATCTTCTTTGCTTTCCATTTGTGTTCTATATCTGCACCAATTTGGCTCCCTTTTATCTGTTTTTTGGTCTGTGTATTGAGAGAGTGTAAATGCAGCACTCTCATGTACACCTGCAAATGAATAGTATACATATTATAATTTTTTAAATTTATTAGGTTGACAAGTAATGACATAATACCCAGAAAATCGCATGAACCAAAAAAAAAAGTTGTAAATTCTAACAAAGTCTCTACTACTAGAAGCTCTGACACACATTTAGACCACACTCAAATATTTTTGAATTCAAATTCTTTTATTTGCTTAATCATAAAAAAAATACATCCTGGCAAATGGGTACAACACAAATTTATTTTCCTAATAAATCTGAAAGTAAAAAAAAAAAAAAAAAATAGATACAGATGTATAGTTTTGAGGTAAGAGACTACTGATCTTTATCGTATTAGCGTTTGGGCCTTTAAATCCAAGTTTATGAACTACGAAATCTGTATGCATGTATATCTACAGTGCTTATTTGTGCTTTTTCGTTTGATGCTAGTCAGATGTAGATAGATCTGTAAACAAAGAATTAGGGTTTAGGATTAACGAATTTAAATGAAATTTTTTCTTGGTATGTAATTAAAACGTACCGTGAGAAAGAATTCTTGGTATGTAATTAAAACGTACCGTCAGAAAGAATCTTTATCTATATCCATGGAAGACGATGCTCCTTAATCAACACAGTCTAGGATTCAGACTGTACGGAATATTTAGAAGATGTTTTGGGATGGTGAAGCGAGGGAATTAGAAGAAGGTAGGTAGTCTTAGCGTTAAGGAGGAGACTGAAAGACAGGCTGCAACAGTTCTCGGATAGAAACAAGGTGGACAGAGACGGAGATGTTCAGACAAGGGAGGGCATGCATCTGGTAGATTTAGGGTTTGATTTTTGTTTATATATATGGGCTGAAATGGATTTGGGTTGGGGTTTGTTTTGGGCTTCAGAATTGGGTCAAATAAACAAAAAAAATTATATATTTAAATACATGTATATTTTGGGCTAGATTTGTTTTTTTTTTTTTTTTAAGTAAATTATATTATATTTTAAATGTTATGATTTTTTTATCATTTTTTTTTTTTGGTTAGAATGAACATGTAAACAAATTATCTTTCTAATGCTATGATTTTTTTTTTTTTATCATTTATTTACAGCTTGGAATGAAAATGTTAAGTAAGATTTTTTTTTTTAAATTTATTTTAGTTAGTAAATTAATTTATGTTCTGTTGATGTAGAAAATATTAATGATCAAGTTGTGAAGACTGCGGTTTGAATGGATCTACTTTGTGGTGGGAATCATTTGTATTTTTTAGTGTTTTACAGAAATAGTTAGCTTGGATTATGAAAAATAGTTTTTTTTTTTTTTTGTTAGATTTGAAATTTATAAATATATTTCATTTGTATGGAAGTATTCTTTAGTGTTTGTATACATTTCATATATAATTTTTTGTGCAAAGTATTGAATTGTATGAATATAAAAATGCATGCTTTGTATTAAAAAAAATACTATATACAAAATTATTCATTTTACTATTTAAATATGCTATCTTTTTTTTGTTGAGAGTTAATTTTAATTCATTTTGTTTCTTTACAAATTCATAAAATGTTCGACCTCATTGTCACAAATTCATAAAATGTTCGACCTGATTGTCTTGAGATTAGGTCCCATTTGATTTCAAATGTTGCTAAAAGTTCGGATATTATCAATTGTTATTTTACTATTAATATGAAATAATGGCCACAATGAGAATGAACATTTTTTTCTTTATATTATTCTACTATTGTCGTTTTTTTAATATTATATAATGTGTTTTTATTTGTATGTTTACGTATTCATTTTTTTGTTTGTTGTAATTTTTAGGTAATCAGCCCAAGTTTAACATGCCATTTACGGGTATTGGAGTTTAGGTTCACATCTCAACAATTAGATTCTATGTTATAAATTATTAAATTATATTCAATTATTTTGACTTCTTTTTTTTTTTTTTTTGGTAATGAATTATCTTTGGCTTTTATTGTAATGGCATATTATGATGTAGGAGATCTTATTTTTAATTGTCACCATTGTAGCGCGTTGCTTTGGGTGGATGAAAATTTGAAAAATCTGAAAGTAAATAGTGGACCAAGATAATATAGATCATTTTTATACATATACAATCATATACATATTGAAAATTAACATACAATTCTTTTCCAATAGCGTGCTTTCACCAGGATAAGTCTTCAACAATAGTCGATATTAATGAGGGTTAGCCTTCATTTTAGATTGGGTTTAGAAGACCATGAAATTTTTAACAAACAAAAGGTTGCAAAAAAGTTACATATGCATGAGGTTTGTTTTTTGTTTTTTGTTTTTTTTTTTGTTGTTTTTTTTTTTTTAAATTATTTATTTGTACATGCAAGGTTGTAGAATAGTCCTTCTCATCCACTCACATACTTGTAATAGTTAGCATTGTAAACATACACGATGATTAGATTTCATTCATCTTATGATTTTTTAATGATTCATTCATAGTATACTCAAGCTTCAACATCAAATTATATATATATATATATATATATATATATATATATATATATATATATATAAACTTTGTCCGTGCAACGCACGGGTGGAGTACTAGTTGATATAAAACATGAAAAAAGGTAGAAGAAAGAGAGAAAGAAGGGAGAAAGAAGGGTCGACATAAAAGCCAAGCAAGAAAACAGGACAGCTAGCGAGCCATGGCAATGGACAAAGATCTTCTGTAGTTATATACGGAGTATTTAAAACAAAAAACGACAAAGAACATGCCATTTTTCTGGTTAATAATGGAAGCCCATCTCTTCATTTCATTCTTTCCTGTCTCCTATTCATACTACTCCAACACATTCCCTCTCCTTTCCTCTTAGTCCCATCTCTCTCTCTGCATTTCATTCTTTCTTCTCTTTTGTTGCTTTACTTTACTTTTTTTTTTTTTGTGTAGGGGCCTTTCTTTTTCCTCTTGCGTTCCAATCAGAGGAAATCTTGGGGTTTTAACGCTTGTGTATCAGGTACTTATTCTAGTCTTTTTCTCTTTTGTTTGTTCTGTGTTGCATTGATGATATATGAACTTTGGGTCAGATCTTGTTCACACCCATTTATGTTCTTTTAGCTTTTCTTGGAAAATTGCAGTTGGGTTTTCTTTAATTTTGACAAAGACTTCTCATTTCTCTCCGGTAGGTGGAGTGGACAAAGATTTGGATCGTAAGGAGTGACAAAAAATAAAAAAGTCACCCTTTTTTATGTTTTCCTCAAGAAAACACAATAAAGATCGAATTTTTTCATTTCTAGATTTTGGGTTACCCTCTTCCCTCATCTTTAGGAGTAATGTTTATCCTCATTATTGAAGGGATTATCATTATGAGAAGAGAAAATTGAACAGTGGTTGTGTTTGCCTAGGACTGTATGGTTCCCCTTTTTGCATGGTTTCTGTTAGGTAAGTAAGGGATTGATTGGTTAGGTTTCAAAATTTTCTCAATCTATAAGCTGATTCCTAGTGCCCAAAAGAGGTTCCTCACTCCTGCATTTAATATTGGACTTCCTCTTTCTGTTCTCTTTGATTCAAGAAAGTTCTTGGTTCTTCTTGTGAACTGAATCTCTCAAAGAAGTTGCCATTTTCAGTTCAATTTGCACTTTCCCTTCTTCAGTTGGACAGGTATTAGATTGATTGATTTGTGGCATTCAGTGACTGTTCTTAGTTCTTTTTACATCTTTGTTTCATTGCATAATAAATATTAGCATTCCACTCTTTCTCGTTTTAACTTTAGATGTTGCTTCATCCTTCATAAAGAAACTTGAATCTTGTGAAAATTTGATGTGGTTTTTGAAGTTATAAAGGTGGGTGGAGCCTTATCATTATCTCTTTCAGTTTTCGATAAGAATAAATAGGATTGTGTGATTCTAGTGCAGATAGTTGATGAAATCAGGGGCAATGAAGTATAAAGATGGGAAACCCTTGCATAAACAAGATCAAAACACGAGGAAAGTCCCCATGGCGGTAGTGCTCGTGGCGCTATGTGGGATTTCGTTTTATCTCGGTGGAGTCTTCTATTCGGAGAAGGACGGTTATGCAACTAATGATGTATCCAAGGGGGCTGAATCTTTCGAGGGCACTGCCGGTGCCGGTGGTGGTGGCTCACTGCAAACCGATGACACTTTGTTTCCTGAGTGCAGTCCCGACTTTCAGGATTACACTCCCTGTGCTGATCCCAAGGTATTTTCGAAGCCAGTCTCGTGGTTTTACCCGAACCACAATTGTATCTTTGAATAAAATGCGGGTTATTTTGCAGAGGTGGAAGAAATACGGTCTGCAAAGACTAACATTCATGGAACGCCACTGCCCGCCACCGTTTGAAAGAATGGAGTGTTTGGTCCCTCCACCGGATGGCTATCAGCCGCCTATCAGATGGCCAAAGAGCAAAAGCGAATGTTGGTACAGGTATGGCCTTATTTGGTGTTTTTTGATGTTTGGTTGAATTGAATTTCGACCCTCGGATCTGACATCAGTTTCTATTTGGAACTGGTTTAGGAATGTTCCATATGATTGGATTAACAAGGAAAAATCTAATCAACATTGGTTACAGAAGGACGGGGAGAAATTCCTTTTTCCCGGAGGAGGGACCATGTTCCCCGACGGAGTTACCAAGTATGTTGATTCAATGGTAGATTTGATTCCCGGTATGAAAGACGGGACGATCAGGACTGCCATTGATACTGGCTGTGGGGTAAGTTCACTTAGCTTCCAAAATGGAGATTTTGCGGGATTTTTCAAGAACTCGTTTTCTTCTTAAGTTTAGGTTGCAAGCTGGGGAGGGGATTTGCTAAACCGAGGGATACTAACAGTTTCACTAGCACCGAGAGATAACCACGAGGCTCAAGTTCAGTTCGCTTTAGAACGTGGGCTTCCTGCCGTTCTGGGGATTATTTCTACCCAACGACTTTCTTTCCCTTCCAGCTCCTTCGATATGGCTCACTGCTCGAGATGCCTTATTCCATGGACTGAATTTGGTAATTGCCCTATTAACTCGGAATATTTCTAACATTGGATATATAATGTAATTGAATCTGATTGTTTCCAGGGGGAACTTACCTTCTTGAGATACACCGAATACTACGGCCGGGAGGCTTTTGGGTCCTCTCTGGTCCTCCAGTGAACTACGAGAATCGCTGGAGAGGATGGAACACCACTATCGAAGAGCAGAAATCAGATTACGAGAAGCTGCAAGACTTGCTTACTTCGATTTGTTTCAAACTTTATGACAAAAAGGGCGACATTGCCGTTTGGCAAAAGTTATCGGACAATAGTTGCTATAAGCAGCTCGATAGCCCTGGTAGCTACCCGCCAAAATGCGATGATAGCATGGAACCGGATTCCGCGTGGTACACGCCACTTCGGACTTGTGTTGTGGTACCAAACCCGAACTCGAGGAAAGTATCGTTAGAGTCGTTGCCAAAGTGGCCAGGAAGGTTGCACACTGCTCCAGAACGAGTTATGGATGTTCGTGGAGGGAGCGAGGGGACCTTTAGACACGACGATAGTAAATGGAAAATGCGAGTGAAGCACTACATGACGCTGCTACCCGGGCTCGGGAGTGATGAGATAAGAAATGTGATGGACATGAACACATTATTCGGGGGGTTTGCCGCTTCTCTGGTGGATGAGCCTCTGTGGGTTATGAACGTCGTTTCTTCCTATTCGTTAAATACACTTCCTGTGATATACGACAGGGGTCTCATTGGTATCTACCATGACTGGTAAGCCGACACCACTTTGCCTTCACGTAATCAATGATCTCTTCGGCGCCTCATATCTATCAATTCAATTTATTTTGTCTGTTACAGGTGCGAGGCGTTTTCAACATATCCTAGAACATACGATCTACTTCATGCCGATGGCCTTTTCACTGCTGAAAGCCATAGGTAAGGACTTTGTCACACTACCCTTTATGTTTTGGTAATAGAGGCAGAATGCCAGATAAAAAGAGACTATGGTCCACATGTTGCCCGTCGAGTAAAAGTCTAACTATCAGCTTAGGTTTTTAGTTGAGATAGAGCACATATTTCTAGTAGACCATACTTGACAGTACTTTGCATGCTCGTCCTGCAGATGTGAAATGAAGTACGTTCTTTTAGAAATGGATCGGATCTTGAGGCCAAAGGGGTACGCCTTAATCCGTGAGGCAAGGCAATTTGTGGACACTATTGCGGCCATAGCTAAGAAGATGAGATGGGCGTGTCATACAGAAGACACAGAAGATGGCGTAAGAACCGAGAAGGTGTTGATCTGTCAAAAGGACCTCTGGCATTCTTCTAAGCAGAGTTCAATATGAAAGAAAAGAAACCAGAAGTTTTGTGAAGAGTAAGTTGTGCACTTGCTCACACAGAAACCATTTTTTGTTCTTAAGATAGCAGAAAAGAGAATTTTCAATAAGGAATCCATTTTTCTGCTCTCTTTTTCTCTTTAGAGCCAGCAAATGCAATGGTGTGTAATCTGTTTTTGAACCATTGCATACCTTATTTATGTAAGAAGTTCATTTTTTAAGTATTAATGAAAATTGGAAACTCCAATGTGTACTCTTGCTCGAGTCCTATTGGAGGAAGAATCTCATGTAGAATATTTTCATTTCTTAATATACAGCATATTTATTTTTCTAATATTTATTTTAAATTCAGTCGCTTGTATTTTATTTATTTATTTATTTTGAATGCCAGTTGCTTGTATTTAATAGTACTTAAGTATTAAAGTAGTTTATAGATTTTATATATTTGAATATTATGTAAAAATTATGTAAAGCCTCGGGTCTATATTTGTTCGAAGAAAATGTTTAGCCAACTCCATACATCTGACCAAAAAATCCTTTCGTCTTTCAACTTTTCGATCTTCCCATTCATTCCCTGTGTGCTCTTCTTCCCCCAATCTTTCCATTCTAGTAACGAATAATTTGTAAATCTAGATTGGCTAATTGTTCTCGGATAGCACCTGCACCCGTAAAAATTTCTCGATTGCGAGGAAAAACCCCTGAATGAGAGGATGAATCAAATACAAGCGAGCAGGATAAAAAGGTGTAGCAAAAAGTGTGAAAAAGCATAATTATATATGTCATTTTTGAATGCTACTGACTCTATTACTTTCTCAACCTAATGAAATACAAAAAGTCAACAATGCTTCTACTGAGACTCAATCTTATGACCTCCCACATGAGAAAAGTCATTACATGCCGTCTGAGCACAAAGTGTTTGACACTTCTGTCCTTAATTAGCTAGCTTGATACAAAGATCCCAGTGACGAGGTAGTGTACTACAACTTGCCATACGTCAAACATATTTCTTTCTGAACTCCTCTATCTTTATAGCCTTATTATCTACAACTAATGTTGGTTATAGATGGTGTGGAACATTGCATTACACCTTGCCGGGCACGTACAGTTGATATGGGGAAAAAAATAAAGATCATATCCTTCGATTCAGTGGCATTTGATCTCATATGATACAAAAGATTCCGGTGACAAGGTAGTGTACTACAACTTGCCATACATCAAACATATTTGTTCTTCAACTCCTCTATCTTTATAGTCGTATTATCTATAACTAATGTTAGTTAGTTGTAGATAAGCTTGCAAATTAAGAGAGACGACTCCAAGAACAAATATGATTAGCGTGGAACGTTACCAAACAAAGCTTGTAACTTAAAATAAGTTATAAACTCCTAAATAAGCTCTGCCAAGTCTAAATATAGTTGGCTTTTAATTAATTAATTATTTATTTATTTACGTTTGGTGAAAATATTTGTTTTTCAACATCATGACAACTCTTTTTTTGTTTTTGTTTTTGTTTTTTTTTTTTTTTTGTTTTTTTTTTGTTTTTTTTGTTTTTGTTTTTGTTTTTGTTTTTTGTTTTTGTTTTTGTTTTTTTTTTTTTTTGTTTTTGTTTTTACAGCTTAATTAGTAAATTACACCTAAACAAGCAACATGTTATCCAATTGTAAAAGCAAATTGATATTATTAAGAAGTCCTCCATAAGCACGTCAAGAATAATTATAGGATGACATTCAATATTCTTTTTGGATGTATATTTAACAAATAATAGCTTTTTCTTTTAAAAATTAAATTAAGTAAATATTATTATATTTTAATTCGTACGTGTGTTTTGCGTGCACTATACGTGCATGATTAAAAATAATCACATTTATTAATATTATTGCATTAAACTGATTGAAACCGAATGTGAAAACTGCTATTTCTGTATTAAATTGATCCAGATTTCGTTCTAGATTTTGAGGAGATAAATGTTATTGATTCCTAAACCAAATCTATTACAAGAGCTAAAGTGGTGGTAAGGGACTTGTTTGATTTTTAATGTATTTTTAAAAAAAATACGGAGTATTGTATTTAATTGGATCTAGTGATGATATGTGTGTCTCCAATTGGTGCTTTTTATTTTTTATTAAATTTGCTTTGATTCCAAGAGTATGGTATAGAATATGGTATACGGAGTATGGTAATAATATTTAAATTCTTTGAAATAGGTAACAGTTCCAGAAGGAATAAACTGGGATAGAAAGAATGATTTGCTTGTCATCCATGATAATGGAAATGTACTCTTTCAAAATAATCCCATCGGTAACTAGTTTAAATTAGAGTTACAAGGAATGAAAATTTTATAGGTTACTTACAGGCAATGTTGAAAAAATCGCTAGGCGCCTGGGGACCGCCTAAGGCGGGCGCCTAGAACGCCTAGGCGGGCGCCTAGGAGGTCGGACGCCTAGCGCCTAGGCGCCAATTAATCGACGCCTAAGCGCGATTTTTGCAACAGTGCTTACAGGTTACTGGTAATCTATGCTGACATGGACTTTTATTTATTTTTTTTCCTAACACCTCCTCTCGCCAGCCAGCCAACCATGATTAATTTGTTGATCAACGTTGGACAATTTGTAAATAAATTTATGATCCATTATAATAGCGCAGTTAAGATTGTCGAAAAGGGTAAACCGAAGATGTTTGGGAGGAGACAATAGAACTTACTGTACCGTCCGCCGAGATGCTCGACGACGTCGACGAAGTGGTCGTGCAGCTCCGGCGTTCACGGTAGACGCGGCAACGCAGATTTCTTGTACTACCGAACCCCATTTCTTTGGCCGCTGTTTTTCATCATTTCGATCTTCTGGTTCGCCGGCGAAAATGAAGACGGTGAGAGGCGGAGGAGATGAGAATTCAATGTATAATAAAGTGGTTGAACCATATAAAGAAGAAAGGAGCATAATGTTGGAAAAAATAGCTTAAAATGATATAAAATGGCATGTTAAGTGCTTTTGTAGTACAATTATCAGTGGGGTCCACTTCCGATTTGGGTCGGGTCAAAGTGGATTCGGGTTCTTCGTAGTGAGACGAAGAGATTGATATATTGTACGCTCAAAACGGATAATGAGTGAATGAGATATTGATTCTCAAAGTAGACCCATTGAGTTGGAAAAATGAAGGAAAAAATTAAGCTTTTGTCCCACATTAGTTTGGGAAGAGGATTTGCCTCACTATTTGTACAAGAGCTCTTTTTAAGCTTATTGAATTATATAGCATAGAGGCTTTCTCTCGCGTGCAAGGAGGCCACCAAGCTTAATCCGCCCTGGCACTTGCGGCGGTCAGTGGACAATTCACTCACCCCTATATAAGGAGTTCGGGAGTAGCAGATTTTTAAGAACAAGAAAGTATAATTTTTCAGCCTCTTTCTTGAACAAGAAAGTATAATTTTTCAGCCTCTTTCTTAAGCCTACTGTATTCATAATCTTGCTCTGGTTCGCCGGATTCCTTGTTTGGGTGCTCAAACATTGAATCGTAACAAGTTTTATCCTGGGAAGCCTAGGCCACAACGCTCCTAGCACTTTTGGGAAGCCTACTGTATTCATAATCTTGCTCTAGTTCGCCGGATTCCTTGTTTGGGTGCTCAAACATTGAATCGTAGCAAGTTTTATCCTGGGAAGCCTAGGCCACAACGCTCCTAGCACTTTTGGGAGGTGGCAAATAAGGTTTTAAGGAAAGAGTGATCGCTTGACTCTTGCTAAAAACCCTACACCAAACACTAGTCAATCTCTTTATCTTTCCTTCCCTTTTCCTACAGAAAATAATAATCTTATTTTTATTGGATTATTATTTGTTTTCACCAACAGAATTCCCAACACATAAAACATGAACTAAAAGTAGCTAGAGGGAGTCGGAGATTATGGACTTTTGTTGGCCTGTGTGGACTTTTGCAACATTCCCCATTTCCGTATGATAGTGTATTTCTATTCCGAAGAGGAATTTATTTTATCCGCAAGAATGTAAATTTACAAGAAACAGCGACAACAACGTTATTCTTCTTGGCGACAAAAACTATTTTGCGGTTCCGTGAACCACCACGACGAAGAAACCACATGCCTAATTAATTTATTGATTTTGATGAAGGTGACGACGAAGCCTTTCTCCGCCAGCCAGCAGGCGAGATGGACGGAGTCCGTCATAGCTTGGATTATTATTATTAACAATGTTTAAAAATTCTCAGAAACGTGGAAGAGAAGAAAGTATATCAAGATTGATTGTGGGAGTTGACTTAAAAAGAAGGTACACATCAGCTAATAACATGTGACATGTTATCAAAGTAACCTGAAAACCTGTAAAAAATTCTAGGTGGAAAAAATTTAATGATTTATGGATCTAAATATCACTTATGAAAGGTCATGATGCGGCATGAAGAATCCGTTATAGTTCATGGTGCGGGATGACACTTTAGCCTTATTTTTACCACCAATAGATTACATTAATATGTCCAAAATAAATACATAAATATCGGCTATTGTTCTTAATTGTTTCACTTTTTAAGGCACGTGGACTAAATTGAACAAAACACGTAATATAGTACATGGACCTCATAGGTACTTTGACCTTATATACACTAATTAAATATGTGAGACTTGCTATTTAGTTTCATTTTATACACAATGTAGTTTCATTACCACACTACTAAAGTATCATTTTTATTCAACTACAGTTTCATTTAACAATATACACTCAATAAATCAGATTTGCTATTTAGTTTCATTTTATATGTTTATTACAACATTGCTAAAGTATCATTCTAATTCAACTACAATTTTATTTGATAATATACACTTAATATATGAGACATTATTCAATTTCTTTTTATACACGTGCACTGTAATTTCATTACAACATCACTAAAAAAATAAATAATGTGTCGTAGAATGTAATGGTTGCAGTTTTTATTCATTAAATGAAATGATGCCGTTTTGGACTATAGTCCAATGTATAACGATGGTATTTAAACATGTTTGAATTAACTTTTTTTATATATATAAATAGTTTTATTTGTCCAAAAACTATGTTCATGTAGCACAACTCAACTCATCAACAATCTAAAATAATATATGGATTAAATATATGAATAAATGTCCTCCTGTTCATGTAGTACAACTCAACTCATCAGCAATCTAAAATAAATTGATAGTTTTGATTTGTGAACAAGCGCAAAAATACATGATGAATAACAAAATTTGTAGGTCAGATAAGACGCATCTTCCGATTTACCTCTTTCCCTAAATCTCCGGGACATACTGCTACTGGCCTGGCCTTGGGCCAGCCTTGCCCCCCTCCTTCGTCAAGTAG